CCGTGATGGTGTCCCTGCTGCAGAGAGGGACAGGCCACAGGACCGTGATGGTGTCTCTGCTGCAGAGAGGGACAGGCCACAGGACTGCGATGGTGACCCTGGCTTGTCCCTGCTTTCTGTGTTGGGCAGGCAGTGGCCAAAGCCGTGCGGAGCTGGCCTTGGGCATGAGCAGCCCTCTGCTCGCCAGACCTGCTTCAGCCTGGGAGAGGTGGGGAGGGGGAGGAGCAAGGAGCGGGATGAGTCCCCAGCACATCAGCAGGAGTTGGGGACCCTGGGAAGCTGCGGCAGCAGGCTGACCCTCAGGAGGCTGAGCTCCCTGGAGCCCCCAGCCCCACACCCCGATGCTGTGGTTTGGATGAGGCCAGCTTGGAGCCTTGGGGAGGTGGGAGGCCCGTGGGAGGTCTCCAACTCACTGTCTTCCTCTTTCGCTTCCTTCCGTGAAGGGCCGGGTTGGCTCTGCACGTCAGACCCACAGCCACAGGCCACCTGTCATGGGCTGCAGACTCCGGGACTGAGCCAAGCAGGCCTTGCCTTGTAAGCTCCTCAGGGACCGACCAGCACATCAGCTGGCGCTCCTGCCACCATCTGAGCTCCGACCCCATGGTGGGCCCTTGGAAGGTCCCAAAGGAGGAGCCCGGCTTCTTCTTCAGAGCTGGGCTCCTGTAGGGACCAGGCCAAGTTCAGGATCTGTGCTGGCCGGCCTCCAGGAAGGCCCCAAGGACCCCACCAGTACCCGCCCTTGTGCCCTGCCACACCACACGAGCAGCACCGAGCAGAACCTTCTGGATCGCGTTATAAAGACTCTCACTCTGTCTTACACACCCCCTTGCTTTTTGGCTCTTTCTCAGAGTCTAGATGCCATGTAGGGAAGTCTAGGCCCCTCTGTTGGAGAGGACTCGTGAAGCACAGAGCAAGCCTCCTCGGGAGCAGTTACCATTTGGGGATGTTTGTTACACAGCACTAGATACTGCAGTCAGTGACGAGAGCCGAGTGGAGGTCAATGCTCTGGGAGGGGGGACATGGGACAAGCTTCATGGGGGCAGGGGCTCTGAGTGGGCTGGAGGAGGGGAGGGTGAGAAGGAGAAGGGACAGGGAGTTGTGTGGACAGAGGAACAGAGCTGGTGCTGTGAATGGACTCCAAGGGACACATGGGTTTGGGAGGAGACAAATCTAAAACTCTAGAGAATCTTGGGGGGTAGCTCAGTGGTATAGCACTCCGCAGCATGGACGAGGCCCTGGGTTCCATCCCCAGTACAGTGAGAGTTGCGGGGGGGAGAGAGAGACAGAGAGACAGAGAGAGCAAGAGAGAGACGGCGGGGGGGTAGCATTTACAGGCTCTGAAGCAGGGGGGTTCGGGCACAGTGTTGGGGTGGGCCGTCCGCCTGCCTTGACTCTGTCTGAGGCTCCACTGTGGTCCCTCCGTGGTCTCCGGGAGAAGACCCTGGGCAGGGCAGGGCCGGGCCTGCACTTGCTGGGCAGCTCCACTGACCGCTGACGCCTACTCTGGTTGGACTGGCCTTTGGCTTTCTGCCTCTCCCCAGCTGCTCCTCTGCCCTTGTCCCCACGTGGCCAAAGCCACCGCCTTCCTGGCTGTGCCCTCTGTTGGCTCTCCTCCTGTCCTGGACTGGTCCTTGTGCCATCCTCACTCGGATGACCTCAGAAGCTGGCAGGGGACGGTGAACCGGGTTGGGTGCTTATTCTGTGGGACGGTTTTGGAGAAAATCGAAACAGCAGCCAGCCGGTGGGATTCTAGCAGTGTCCACCATCTCCTGATCAGGAAGTGACAGCCGCCAGCTGTTGTCCCTATTTCTCCCAGGACTCGCCTGAGGACTCCCTTCGGCAAGTCCCTCAGGAGCCCAGCCCGTGGCGGGGCTCCAGTCCTGCCGGTCATTCCTCCGCTTGCCCAGCTGTGTGGGTGGAGGTGACCCTGTGGTATGTGCCGCCCAGTCTGCTTCAACCTGTGTCCAGAGGGTCTGGCTGCCCGATGCCCGGGCTCTGCTGTCCCTCTCCGTTTCTCCCCAGCGCTCCCCTCTGCCCCCTCTGGTTGGAGATCCGCTTTTCCTTCCTCAGATGGAGCGCAGGGTCTGACTGTGCTATCAGAAGGAAGGCCGCCAATTTCCCGCGGGTGGGGAGGCCACAGTCCCTCCACCTGCCCTGGCGAGGGTCCCACTTTATTCCAGGCCTCGCTGTCCTGAGACGTCTCCCGCGGGCTCTGTGACCAGGCCGGCTCTGCTGCGGGCCTTCTCCCTCCTCCTCCTGGTCCCTCCCTCCCTCCCTCCCTCCATTCCTCCTTCTGGTCCCCACCCCCTCAGCTGTGTAGACAGAGGGAATCTCTGCCCTGAGACTCCAGGAGTGTGAGGGGCAGCCTCTGCCCAGCAGAGCAGAGGGCTCCACCCACCCAGCCCCCTGCCCTGGACAACAGCAGACCAAGTTGCTGGGGACCCTGGTGACACTGAAAACCTGGCTCCTCCCACAGCCCTTGTCTCGGGGCTGGCTGAGATTGCAATGGTAATTATCTTGCCAATGACGGTGACTGTCTTTCCTGAGTGTGGCTGTGTTTGAGACGTGACTAACTGCGCTCTGCAGCATAATGGCCTTAATAAACGGCATCTCCGCGTATTGTCGGGGAACAGAGCCTATTAGTTGGGGACGGGACAATAGTGTAATTTCAGGGAGATGGATTCCATTCTTCTCCCGGCCGGGCCCCTCCCCACACCCCAGCGTGTGCACATCACTTTTTTCTTAATAGGACATTTTTCCTCAGGATAATTTGCAAAATGTTAATCTGTTTTCATCATCTCTCATTTGTTTCTCCTTAGAAGTTTGTTGTTGTGGCCACCGGGAAGCGCCTGGGTGGTCTGTGCGTGCGCGGGAAGGCCCTTCCTGGCTGAGCGGAGGAGCAGGGCTGTGGGAGCCAGGCCCGGGCAGCTGAGGGCATTGGCTGGAGAGACTGAGGGCCACGGTCCTTCCATCGTGGACAGGAACCTGGGGAGGGGACAGCCACCTGTCTTGCTTCACACCAGACCCGGCCTCTGATTCCTCCAAACGTGGAGGCTGAGAGCGTCTCCTGCTCAGTGCCGGGTATCCTCAGCCCAGAGAAGGGCAGGGAGCACCCAGGGCCCTGCAGAAGGCCGCAGGGGTCACAGGGCTGTGGCCTTCCGAGGAACTGAGGGGCGCCAAGACCCCCTCTTCAAACCCCGATTCCTGTGACCGAGTGGAAGGATCTCAGACACGTCCCTGAGAGTAATGGGGATGAGTTTATTGAAGGGATGGGAAAGGGGATGCTCCCAAGGGAGAGAGGGACCGTGTGCCCTCCTCCTGCTCCAGTTTTACTGGGGATCCCAGAGAGATTTCCAGAGTCCCCTGCCCAGGCCCACCTCCTCACTTTTGACCGGCAGCAAGATGACGTCCGACTCTCAGGTCCCCTTGGCCCAGGCCGAGGGGTTCCCGCAGGACTCGGAACCACACACTGTTACAGACTTGGTGCGAAGAGGAGCTGTCCTCCTTATCCCCCAGAGTTTCAGGATCTGGTCACACAAGTCCCCTGGGTCCCTCCCGTCAACACCACCTCAGGGCTGCATCTCAATGGGGCCCGCCCTGTCCACTCAGGCCGGGCACAGCTGAGGGCCAAGTGCTTCTTGGAGGCAGCACCGGGAGCCGATCTCACAGGATTGTTTTCTTGACCTCCTGTGCCACCATCCTGACCTCTGTCCCCTAACCCGGGGATCATGGCGCAGGGCAGGGCTGAGGAACAAGTGCCGAGGTCAGGGGTCAGGTGTTGGGAGCCAGGACCCAGGGTGCCCAGGGCTCAGAGCCCTTCTGCCACAGTCCTGGTGAGGGCTCCGCGTCTCCAGCAGCTGCGGGGACGCAGAGGGGCCTGGAATGTGGCCACTGTTCCCAACCACCTCACTGTACCACGGCAGGTGTGTGGTCTCCACTCGGCTGTGCCGCCCTCAGTCCTTACCTGCTAAAAGGGTAGTGAAGGACACTTGGGCCCAGCAGGGGAGGGCGGACCTGGCTGAGCCCCGGGGGGATCAGCTCCTCCAAGCAGGGACCCCTCTGCCTCCTGCTTCTGCTTTCTTCGGGCCACACACTGATGCTCCTCCAACCCGAGATCCCAGGAGAGAACCAGGCAGACACGTGGCGGGTGGGACACCCTGTGACCGGCGTGCCCACGGAGGTGCTCCCCCAATTCAGCATGCAGCTGTGGCCACGCCTGAGGAACATTCAGAAGTTAGAGCCCAGAAGGACAAGGACACACAGACACATGGCCAGCACACGGGGGGGGGGGAGGCAGGGACCCAAAGCCTGTCCAGGCCCCTCAAAAAATTAGAATTACCATATTCCAACCAGCAGCTCCCTCTGAGTGTGAAGCTAGAAGGGGAAGCAGAGGCTGAGATCCTTGTCCACGGAGCGTGTTCAGACGCGAAAGGCAGAGGCAGCCAAGTGTCCATACATGGAAGAGTGAATAACCAAAACGAGTTCCGAGCATCCCACGGAATATTATTCAGCCGTAAAGAGAATGAGGAGCGAGTATTCGCTGCCGTGTGGATGAACCTCAAACACATCCCGCTGCTGGAGGAAGTCAGCTAGAAAAGACCCCATATTGCACGAATCCATTTATATGAATCATCCAGAATAGACGGAGCCATAGAAACAGAGCAGATGGGCGGTCGCGGGGGAGGAGGGCGCTGGGAGCAGCGGCTTGCTGGGTGCAGGGTTTCCCTCTGGGATGATGAAACATGGAATGCGTTGTAGCTGACGTCCACACGGTGCTGTGAGCGCACTGAAGGCCACTGGACTGGACAGTAACAATGCTCCCAGGCTCATTTGGTGGTGCTGTGCCTCAAGTTCAAGACATAAGCCAAGAGCAGCGCCCATCCGTTCATCGGGAGGGAGCGGGGCCTCTACCTCGGCCTCTGCCTGGCCCGGCTGCCTATGGTGACGGCCGCCAGGCCAATGCACAACCCGCTGGCCAGCTTCTAATTCTGGAGTCTCAGGCTGCAGAGGACGGGTCATTCTCCTTGCTCTGCTGTTTGTGCTGACGGGCAGGAAGGACGGAGCGTGGGGGAAGGTGGGACGCAGCTGCGCGGGGAGGGGAAGACCCTGTCCAGGCGCACGAGAGTTTAGGCCCCAAACAAAAGTCCAGTCAGATTGCTGAATGCTGGGTCTCGGATGTGGCACCAGGAGCAGCTCCTTCAGCCAGAACATGCGTCTCGGTTCATTTCATAAAGGGAGGGCTGTTTGGGTCCAGGTGCGCAGAACCCCACCCAGGAGAAGCCTGGGCAGGACAGGTGCGGGGAGCTCTGGCAGCCCGCCACCCCCTCCCCAGATAACCTTCCCGGCTGAGGATTGGATTCATGTGCTGAATTCCAGAACTGGGAAGGTCCTCCTTTGGTGAAAGCTCTTCAGTCCGTCAATGCTTTGATGTCTTTTGAATCCTTTGTGGCCCCAAATCAAATAGAAGCTTTTTACATCCCGGCTTGAAACATCCCTGTTCCCATTTCTTTTCACTTAAAGGATTTCTCCCCCGTGTGATTATCACAAATCACTTCTGAATGGTGCTTTGCCATTCAGCTCCTGGGCATTCATTAAAAGGCAGACACGTACAGTCCCATTTACATGTGGCCGTTTTTTAAACACTAGACGCATGTCCGCGGATATTTATATGTACATTCACGGTCTTCGCTGGCACAAGCTTCGTCTCCCACTTCCATTAATGAAATTATCCTTACAGAATTATCGTCACTAAACAGTTGCCTTCCCAGGACCCCGTGACTCATGGCGATTTCTGCCATTTTCCGTCACAATGACTATGGGCAATTACTCAGGCTCCGTAATTCAATGCCCCGCTTCCTGCCCATGGAGAGTGCTAGAATCAGATGCATTTTTTTTTATAGCTGGAAGAATGTTAATGGATGTCAATAGGTTGCAGGAGACAGAGCCGAGCTCAGAGGAAGCAGCCATGTGGATCTCTATCGGTCCCTGCAGCATTTGCAGGGAAAGCTTTCTCCACTTCTCTGTTGCTTGAACAGCAATTACTAAAGCCTTCTGCTTGTGAAGGATGCATTAATTAGATACTTTCTAGAGATTTTTCAGGCTTATCAACCCAAATGTCTGTATAAGCTCCTTGGAGGGAGCCTGCGAAATGCTTATGGAGCATGAATCTCGGCTGAGCCCAGGTGCGGCTCTCCACTCTGCAGCCTGGCTTCAGCCTAGGCCCCATCCTTGCTGGGGGAGCCCTCTGCTGAGCAGGACAGCGCCAGCCCTGGGGGCTCCCAGGAACGAGAGCAAGGTGAAGGCTGCGGCTCGGCCACCAACACCCCGGAGGCTCTCTCTTGGAAGGCTCCGTGGCTCCTGTTTGGGTGTGGAATGTCCCCCCAGGCCCCTGGGTTGAAGGCTTGGTCCCCAATCTGTGGCACTATCTGGAGGAGGTGGGACCTCGAGGTGGTGGAGTCTTTGGAAGGTCATCGTGGGCATGTCCTTGGGGGTGAACAGGCCCCCGCCATGGTGTGCTCCTGCCAGGACATACTGGGCCAGCGCAGTCCCAGACCTCAGGGCCGAGTGACCAGGAACGAGACCTCTGAAACAGGGAGACCAGTCCACCTTTCCCCCACGTGCGGTGATCACTCCGCTGTTTCTTACAGGATGGAAACCAGACTAACACACCGTGGAGACCCCGGAGGGCAGAGGTGGCCAGCTGGAGGGACGGAGAGGAAGCACTGGCCTGTCCCCCCCTAAGGTCTCTGCTGTGTGAGCCTGACCTCTGTGTGGAATGGGGTGATCATGGCACCCCTCACCTCAGGGGTGTTGGCAATGGTACACCTACCCCGAAGCACCTCGCCACACCAGGCTGGCCTCCTAGCAAGGCGCCCCGCTCTTCTGTCGCCTCTGTGAGCAGAACATCAGCTCTGGGGGACAGGAGGCAGGTGGCCCCGCCCACTGCCACATCTCAGGCTTAGAGTGGAGCCTGGGGCTGGTGAGTCCCTTCGTATTTGCTGATGGGCTGAACGCTGTCATTGTTTAGATTGTCATCGTCACCATCCCATCACTCATGGTCCGAAGGTGGAATTAGAGAAGATGATAGGTTGACCCAGGTGACAGTGGAATTAGAGAAGGTGATAGGTTGACCCAGGTGACAGTGGAATTAGAGAAGGTGATAGGTTGACCCAGGTGACAGTGGAATTAGAGAAGGGTGATAGGGGACAGCAAGCCGCGTGGGGGAGGTGAGTGTGCTCCTGGTGGGACACAGGACAGGGACTGGGGGGTGGCTGGATCTGGAGTGTGAGACGTGGCGCTGTGCGAGCCCCGTGTGGATGGGGCTCGTCCCACCAGCCCTGCTCTGCTGCTCCCCGGGTTAAACAGGTTCATATCTCCTGACGTCCCCCCTCATGGAGGAAGACGGTTCCCCCAAATTGGAAGGAATAACTCCCAAGGCTCCAAGCTTGCCGGTGACACTGTCATCCCGTCCTGACCCTGCCTCTGCACGGGACTTTGTATCCCTTCCCAGAGTGGAGACCCAGCCTTCAGCCGTGGTGGCTCTCAGCCTGTGCCTCACTGAGAAAGCCTTGTCCAAGTCACGTCTCAGCCTCGTGGCGCTGGACGTCCCTCTTTCTTCTCGTCCCACCTTTTTGAATCCCCAGGCCCCTGTTCAGGAATATGACTACCATGTTTATGGAGTGGGTTCTGGCCTGAAGGGAAGCCACTCAAGCCAGACAGTGTCTTGCAGCAAGGACAAAGCTTGTGCAGGAGGTGGCCAGCCTCCACATTCATGTCCAGGAGGCTTGTTGGCAAAGTGCTGCTTGGGCACTTTACGCAGAAGTGGGCGCGGTGCCTGCCAGCAGCTCCTACCTGAGGTGGGGGCAGCCTGGTCTCCTGGGCCAGAGATAATGCAGGCGGATGGAGCTGGCCGAGGTCCCAGCACTGATCCTCAGCTGAGCCTCTGAGGGTCAACTGGACTTCTCTGGGGCCTTTGTCCCCCTTCTTGGCAGGCTGAGGTGGCAGGGAGGCAGCCCTGGGAGAGGCAGGGAGGTGCAGGGCTGCATTGTTGGCTGCCCCACAGTGACCCCGTCCTCTCTTTAGGCTGAAACATGGATCCTAGAATCCGCTGTAGGACAGGACGCAGTTCTGACCTTGGACCTGGTGGAGATGCCCAGTTGACTGGCCTCGAGCCACACCCACTCCAGGAGGAGATGCCTGCTGAGCAGTGAATATCTCCCAGATTAACAAGTGAATCCCACATCTGCACCCTGGGACCCCTACAGAGCACCCTGGGATGTAACCCTTGAAGTTCCTTTAACCCCTGCCTCTCCTGAACAGGAGAGTCACAGCCTCTGGGACAGGAGTCCCCGGTGTTCCTCCTCCTTTGCTACCGAAGCAATAGACCTTCTTAATTTTTCTCAAAACCATGTCCTCATTATCAAATCAGCGTTGATTGGCACTGGGGACAGGGACGGAGCTTTCAGTCACACAAGGGGCCAACAGGACAGCGGAGAGGGCTGCCTGCCGGGGGTGTGAAGAGGCACACGGGGCCTGGCAGGCTCACCTGGAACTCTGGCTTGGACAGGTGACCCGGGCTGGGCCAGGCCCCTCCATGGGCAAAGAGGCCATGGACTGAGGCATGGGGCAGGCTGCTGGGAGGGGCGGTTGAGGCAGGCGGCCCCTCTGGGTGGCACCACATCTGGCCTCATGAAGACGCTCCATGACCAAGCCTCCCCCCAGGTATTTAAGCCAGAATCTGAAGCATTTGCTGGTGCTTGTCTCAGTCCCCGCTCTGTCTCCAGTGTCCTGGGATCCAGGGCTCGTCCTCTCTCTCCCCGGATGGCCCCATTCACCTCTGGGCCCTTTCCTGCCTGAATCCACAGCGCTGGGTGCTGGGTGACAGGAAGCCAGCGAGCCTGTCCTCGTGCCAGCAGCTTGAAGGGCTGCGTTGGCTCCTGGCTCACCCCGTAGCCAGGGAAGGTGGCGGTCACCTCAGACCAGGGGCAGGACGCTGGGCCCAGGTCACTTCATTTCAAATCCAGGTTTGGTTCTTAGTCTGAGGTTCCCCGGGCTCACTGCCCCTCTCAGGCCGCGGTCCGCTCAGGCGGAAGGAAGCCCGGGAGTGGGACACGGCTCTTCGGGCTCTGAGTGGGACCCGCGGGCAGGATGGAGCAGGGAGGGGCCGGCTAGCCATCTGTCACTGAGTCAGTACCCTGTGAGTGTGCCAGGGTGCGCCCTGGGCTTTGGGGTGGGGGATGCCCATCCCTGATGGGCCACTCGCTAGTCATGGCCCCTGGACACAGGCCCAGCGCCAGGCCCAGGCACGAGCTGAGTGACCCCTCCAGGCCTCAGGTTCCCTGTGATGAAATGAGGAGGAGGCGCAGCACCTACCCGTGGAGACAGTTGGGGGTGGTGATGCTAGAGCCCGAGGGACGAGGGCTCAACATGGCCGATGGCTGCTGTCACCAGCAGACAGCCGTCACCTAACGCGCGCCACGGTGGCCTGCCTTGCTTCCGAGGGAGCTTGAGCCTGAACACAGGGGAGCCATGGGAGCCAGCGAGCTGCGTGGGAGCAGGGTGGGGGGAGGTTCCGGTCCTGGCCCCCAGGGCTTCCCCGAAGCAGAGATGGAAGGGCTGTGGGCTGCTGCTCCGGGGCAGCAACCCCTGTCAGACCTTAGCAACGGCCCTTGCTGGGGCATGCTGGGAGGTGCATGTCCACTTCTCTCACCAGCCATTAGCTTAGGAGAGAGGCTGTGCCCAAACGCCCTGGCTCCTCTTGGTGGCCCGCTAGCCATCTGTCACCAGAGTTAGTCCCCTGTGAGTGTGCCAGGGTGCATGCCGTGAGGGCTCCGGGGTGCACGGCCTGGCAGAGGTCAGGGCAGACCCGGGCTGGTGCACGCTTTGGCCAATGCCCAGGTGGTCAGAAATGCACTTTGGAGCTGCAAGCTGCCCAGCGCTCTGGTCAAGCCTCAGCCTGCAGAGCGTTCTCCACCCCTCCTTCCCGTCCAGGTGTGCCTCGATGGAGCCGAGGACATCTGTGGCATCTGTGCTGGTGACTTGCAAGGACGCTGGGGTGAGGGGGAGGCGGGGAGCCAGGCTGCCTGTGGGGAGGGAGTTGCCAGTGCGCTGTGGGCCCCTCATGCTCAAGAACCTGGTGTCCGCGAACCGGGGCAGGAAGGGAGCACAGAAAGCCTGCATGCTTCTCCCAGACAGCCCGTCACCATGGACGGCAGCCGGGTGACACCCGGGAGAGGGACAGAGAATGCAGGGTGGTGGGAGTCGGAGTGTGGGGCGGAGGGAGGTCACCCTGCCTCCGACAACACGGGCCACACGTTGAGCTTGCGGGAGTCGGTGCCTTTCTGCAGGGGTCTGTGACTCTGGCTGGTGAGACAGAGACGGCGTCCTGACGTCGCGGGGTCCCTGTGTCTGCTGCAGCTCACCCTCTCACGCCTGCCAAGCACACGCAGTGTGCCTCCACACAGCAGATGTGCTCCCGCGGGTGCACTAGACACAGCCTGGTTTCCACGCTGAGCAGCCATGTTTGGAAAGGACTGTGCCAGGTGCCCTGTACCCAGGGGCTACCCCAGGTGCACCTTCCCACCCACCCTCACAGCCGGGTCAGGGGAGGCCTGAGTGTCAACCGTAAGCAGGGAGAGGCTGTGGGACTCACCCAAGGTCGCACCACTGTGGATGGTGGAGCGGGGACTTGAACTCGGCTTTGGATTCCAAAGCCCCCAGCCTGAGCCTCTCTGGGACACTCCTCCCCGAGGAGCCTCGGTCAGGGAGACGGTGCTCTCCGCAGTGGAGATGCATGTTCAGATTCAGCGGTGCTCAAAGGGAGGCCGACTGCGGATGACCTCGGTGGCCAGAGGGACAGTCAGCAGCAGCGCTGGACCTTGTTTGATGCTGGGCTAAGGAAGCAAGACCTACTGGGGCCAGATGCAGCCCAAAGCCCTGGGCTGTGGCTCTGTCCACCTTGTTCCAGTTAATGCCCACTCAGGGCCGTTGGGCCGGCTGGGCCACGACCTCAGGGCGGAGCTGGCTTCACACTGTCTGCCGCCCACGGTGGTCTTGCTGTAGCTAGGGC